ATGTTGTCAGGAAGGTTTACTAGAAATTAAGTGTCCATTTTCAATTCGAGATTTGACACCTGGGGAAGTTATGACTAAACTTACCTCTTTTCGTGAAGCAAATGGAAAAATTGAACTGATACAGAGTGTAAATTCCCCAAACTATGTTCAAATGTTAGGACAAATGGGGATCTGTAAGGCACCAATGGCATTTATGTTGAAAGAGCAGTTTCAATGAAGCACTATGGAACAATGTTGTATTGAAGCTGCAAGATTTTTATACAAGTTATATGCTTCCTTCCATTTTATCCAACTAAGTGCACATGTTTGTGATTATCTAAATATTAAGCATTAGATTTGTTTTGTCATCTTTAGTGTGTAGAAGTGATAATGAATAAAAACAAACAATCATAAATTATATTTAATCATTTTACATGTAATAGTGATACCCTATGTGGGAATAGTAAAACATGAATATATCAAACATGCATGATAAAACAAATTGTGCTCATAATGAAACAGTTATAGCGGTCTGTGGACTGGCCCCTTGTCTTAAGCATTTTTACTTCAAACACATTTTAATCAAGCTTTATACTTTCTCACTAAAGGGGGTAAAAAGTTACAAAAAGCAACAGCTACTTTGAGCATCTGAGATGAAATGTTTTTAAGTTTTAGTGGAAGAATTTGTCCTAGCAATTTAAATGATTTTAATTTTCGAATCGCCCTCTCAACGTGAATTCTAACTGAAGCAATTTTCCTAGTTTCTCGGATCTCTTTGGAAGTCAAAACTCTCCCTTTTATGCTTCTATTAGAAACTCTTGTAAATGGAGACATGTTCAACTTTGCTCCGTTTTTAATCACTAGGTCCCGAATTTGAAAACCACGATGTGCAATGACTTCATCGCCATCTTGTAATTGTCCAAGTATCCACTAAGTTCTGTAATTTTACGATCAAATATATTACCAGACCACAGATTCGATAAAAACACAAATGCACCATTGGGTTGTATTGCAACTAAGGCTTTCAAAGTATTATGACTCTTATAGTTGTTCCAAATTGCAGCTTGAGCACTAGGATTTCTCGGTTTGTGTATGAAAATTTCAGTACAGTCTATAATTGATGTTGTTCCAGGATATTTTTGTTTAAAACTTATGGCAAATGCTTTCTTATCTTTTCATTTGATGGCCATTTTAGAATTGGTTCAAGATATTGATACAAAAAAAAAAATATCCAGGTGGTGAACATATTTGATATGTGACTAATTGAGACTCCAAACAGATTTGATAATGTAATATTGTCTAATCCTAGTGTAAGTTTTAACATAATAATAACAAACTCTTCCTTAAGACTGAGTTTTCTTTTCTTTCCTGGTTTTCTATTCTCAGTTTGCCACATCTTTTCACCAGCTTTGTTCGAGCCTTTCCATGAATTGACATTTTTGAAAAGATGAGAAATGAGGTTAATAAATCCTAGAAAAAAAAACCAAAGATGGTAACCCCAGATAATGTTTGACCGTTTTGTCTGATTATGTAATTTTTGCAATCAACAAGTTTCTTAGATTCTCTTCATTATTCTCCAGTTTCCTCCTTAGTGACAGATTTTCCTCATTCAGAATTATGTTTTCTTTTGTCAATCTAGACTAGTACATTTCAACTGAAAGAATTGCAGTTTTGATTTAGTTTGAGACATATGCATTCATTATTCCAGTTAATCAAGAATATTTAGATGTATATAATTGTGGGTTCATAATATCACTTTAGTCTGGTAAGTTTATAAAATAATACTAGATTTTGACCCGTGCGTGCACGGGTTGACATTGTTATGAATGCATCCATGTGCATATCGGACATTTACAAAATAGATACATCGACACATTCATATTGTAAGGTATTTTTGAAATAAACAATGAATGTTAATATAATTCTGTTCTTTTGTGTTTGTTTTGTTTTGTTTTTGTTTTTGTTTTTTTAAAATTGTTGCGTAACGGCGTAGCGCAGAATGGGTTTGACCACCAGTTAGCTATAAATCAAGTCTTGAGTTCGAATCACGCCGGAGCTTACATAAATTTCACCCTTCCAAACAAATTTAATAAAAGAAATTATGGATCGATGTTCATTGAAAATATGACAACAGCAAAGAGTTGAGCACACTGCTGATACATATCAAGCATAGTAATGAAAATGAAGAATTGTGCTAAGCTGGTATTTTTACACAATCAGGTATTAAAGTAAAGGTGTAAAAATTTTTGTAACAATTTTAACACTGCAGGTCTCAACTTTTTCAAAATATGACCTCAACAATATAAGAGTTAAGCACTGCTAATACATATACTTTATATATACACAGTTAATAGACAGGTATATAATCTGTAAAAGACTGTCTGTTTTGATAAAAATTAATGTAATATCCTTGAATTGGTACATAGAAAAAGTAATAAAAATAGAAGCTTAATTGAGAAAAAATAAAAACAAATTGGTAATCTTCAAGTACCAATGATGTTTAAAATACATAAAACAAAAGACAGTATTCTTCCGATTTATCGGTATTAAAGGCCAAAAATTCGAGTCTATAATTTTTATATAGTAGTTATTGTAATTTTTGGCGGAAAAAGAATGCCTACTTCACTAAGATGTGATTCTAACTGGAGTTGTAACACCCCCCCCCCTTCAGTTCCCCTCAAAAAAGCATAAAAGAAAGGAGGGATAAAATAAATCGGGTAGTTACATTAATGTTGCTCCTACGATCATGAGCTTTTTGCCTCCGTTGAGATGGCCAGAGATATAAATAACATATAATAAATGTGTCTCCGAGATGGCGAATGATTACCCACGTGGCCACAATATCACATTTGTATGGATATAAACTCAGAAACGATTACGATAATACAAACATATAGACGTCAGAAGCAAATTGAAAGTGGGGTGGCTATTTGAAAGTGGGGGGGGGGGACCAAACCAACGAAAAAAGGTAAGCCCCAGTTTTCAATGCCTATATTATGCCTATCTTTGCCAAAAAAAAAGTGGGGGGGGGGGGCTAAGCCCCCCTAGCCCCCCACCCCCACCCCACCCCGGTTCCGACGCCTATGACAAATACGTGTAAATTTTCATTGGAAATTAGCTATATATTCTGTTCATATACATTAATGATTTCTTATTAGAGAAATTATACAATAACAAATATATATCTACTTAGTATATACTTTTGTCTTCTCTGATTTGAACACACTCTCGACCAACGGCTTAAGAGAGAAACGAACGACAACTCTGCAAGGGAGATTGATTTGAACACCGTGATTTAGCGTGAATGTAATGCGCACGCGCAAGATTGTAAAATCCAAAAAATCCAGATGATTTCCGGAATTTTTTGAGGAATTTTCGTTGATTATTAATTAGCGAAGCTTAATTGAGAAAAAATAAAAACAAATTGGTAATCTTCAAGTACCAATGATGTTTAAAATATATCAAATAAAAGACGGTACTCTTCCGATTTATCGGTATTAAAGGCCAAAAATTCGAGTCTATTATTTTAATATAGTAGTATAGATGGCTTCACTCTTTTGATTTGATTTGATTTGATTAATGTAAATTGTGTAAATTATGGATGATATGTATTGAAAATAAGATAATCAAAATACTGAATAAAGAGATAATTTAATATCAATAAATCAATAAAGAACTGAAACTAGATATATTCAAAGAGGCATTGAGAATATGATAAATTTTGCAATAAAAGAACAGAATACCAAAACAAAATTTTACAACACATTTGTACCTCCAAAAGATCATTTTTGTTTTTAAGAAGTTCAATTTCTTCTTCCATACATTTGTACTTATTGTCAAGGTCTTCATATCCATTTGATGAATAACAATGGTCATGTGGTACATTTTCTATATGCGAATTCAGAACCACTAGAATTATTTGCAGTTAAATGGCAAACAGAAATATTGACTCAATCATATTGGGTTTTAATAATGAACATGCATACTTTTTTTACCTTGTATTTCAATTACTATCATGGGTACTTGGCTCAAGCTCTCTGGCTGTATTTCCATCTCCCTGCTACATATGGGTAACAGACATTAGTTTTTACAAACGCATCTTGCTTGACCAGTTTTATATTTATAACTGGTGTGATGTCAACCAGAGGTTCGTCTACATGCATAACCTGATTTATGTTGGGACTATACTTCGTGACATTGGCGGGGATACATGCAGAATTATTTGTTTTGGGTGAAGTTTTCGAACGTTTATAGTTATTGTACCTAAAAAGTGTTAGATACGGGTTTTCAGGAGTCGGTCTATCGTCAATAAAATGATTTGAACAAATAACCAAATGCCTCAAGTCGCAATTGGGGTTTTGTTTAATATTTTTGTTTATCCTTTCTTCTAGGCCGACCTATCTAATTAAATCCAGCCATTTCTTTCTAACACTTGTAACTTTGGGAATTTGATGAAATACTAAATGTTTCGAATTAGTCGCCCTACTATCAGATGTACACCCCTCAGCTATACAATAAACTTTTGGCATACTGATTATATTCACCTTGAAGTCGTCTCTGGAGATTTAGAGCTTCCTCGAATTTCCCGCAAAAGAGCGTCAGTAAGTTAGATAACCGCAAGGTAATCGCTATACTAAGTATTAACCATAACTCATAATAATTGCAAAATAATCAAACTTATTAATATTTATGTACACGTTGCACTGCGTACCACAACTATATTCAAGCATAATACCTCTGTGAATATAAGTAATCATTGCTCAAAATATGGGTTTGGTTCTCAGTGCAACACAAATGTACTAGAATGTAAAACAACAGGACCCTCGAAAATTTTCCCATACACTCAATGTAAAAGTGATTATCATTTCTTGCAACATTATTCCAACTTTTTTGTCAAACAAATATCTCACTTAAATATAACTATAAACGTTGGAAATCTGAAATATAACTTAAAGTTGCAATCAGTCCCATTTCATTTTTTGCTAAAAAAAAAAAAAAATGGGCAAAACCCCCCAGCTTTATCAAAACCTCTTCTTTTGATCTAAAATTTAAAATTCACACAATATATAATTGAATACATATACTATATTTTAAAATTAATGTAAATTATATATATATATAAAAAGAGAATTTAAACCTGCACAGAGATGAGTCAAAGGTGGATTCCATTGGCCAAACAGATCACATTTAACAGATGCATAAACAGCAGGCATCAATCCAGTTTTGCACTCAAATTCGCAGGTTTCGCCGGGAAATGCATGGCAGTCAAGCACATTAACCGTTTGGGAAGAAGTATTGCAGCGATGTACTGAAAAAATGAAAATGAAATAATTTGTGTAATAGAATAGATTGACAGATTTTTTTTTTTTTTTTTTTTTGTTAAAGGATGTTTTCTCTCGACCAAATTTTTTATGATACATATCAAGGTTTGTATGCTTATGAAGTCATCCATTCAAATTTCTTTGCTAGAAAATTAAACTTTTTTGTGTACCAGCGATTCAGAGTTTGTATTGTTCAATATAATGAATTTTGATCGCCAATGTTATGCGCCATTACTCTAACATCATAAGTGTCAATCCTGGACAAACAAAGCACTTAATATTTTTTTTTTTCAAGGATCAATTATTGATTTTTTTAAACATGTTAGATAAATATTTATTGATAATTAGATTAAAAATTGAAAGTATGGTATAATTCGCGGCTTTCGATGCACAAATATATGCTAGATCCGATTAAGAAAGATTTTATTTTACATTCCCTAGACTCTGCATGGAGGGAGGAAAATATATTAAAGGGTCCTTTTAAGCATTGTCTCCATAAGGCGATTTAGAACCAAAGTTTGCTCCGACCATATAATCATTATACTAAAAAAATAATTTGTTGTAAAAAAATAAACCAACATGCATTTTAAAAGACTCCCAAAGAGTCTAATATGAAATTCCTAATGACGTTCGCCGCCATTGGAATTTCTAGTATGTGATATTAATACCGTAACAGATAACGGATATAAAGAATTTATTTGAATATTAATTGTTCAAATGACATAAAATAAATAGAGGGGAAATTTAATTGCTAATGGTCTAAAATAATTCGAAGTCAGAGTGAAATAAAAGAGGTACATTCAACAGTTATTTATTCGATGCCCAAAGTTACCATCGACTTTTTCGCTGTCCTCTTTCTTTTCGGCCAATTTGTAAATGTTATTTATTTTTAAGCCAAATCTATTTGTTGTATTCAATTCTTAAGATCGCCTACTTGAGAATTGAAACCAATAAATTTTCAGTACCATGTGAACGCTATCTAATTAGTAAAAATTTTCCACGCGAGGTCTCTAATTAACGGGCTTTTTATCACCTTATTTCGATTTTTTTGAAACCCAGTTTAACGTTAAATCGATAAAAATATGGCTTTTGTCATTTTGTACTAAAATGCCTTCTGAGTTTCACTCTACATACTCTGCACTATACATACTGTATTATAATTTATGAACTCGCCATTTTAGTATGTACTTCGTTTTATGGCTAATACACGTTGGCAGAGTTCAGTGTTCTCATTTTTTTTTTATCCATAACCATATGGAGTCAGAGTCATTGAGGGAATTCCACAGCCCGTAGTGGACTAGGAGTCAACAAACTTCAAGAGTAAAAAAGGAGGAAAATGCTTATACTGCTTCTATTGGAAAAAGGAAAAGGTACAAACATTTTTGATAAATGTTCAGGAGCAGAGAGGATTTTTCAAAGATATAACGTATTTGTACTACAGATTCAATACAGTCCAACCCTAACACCAGAACTCATGACCCAGGGTCATGAATTTCACAAATTTGAATAGGTTACCCTCATCTTCACAACTATGCACTTAGTTGAGGTTTTTCAAAGAATTAACACATTTTCACTATATTATCAATAGAGATCCCCCCACACAACACAACACTACACAACACTAGAAACCCTCACCATGGGACTACAAGCTTTTAAAAGTTGTGTACGAAGCACCCTTGCTCATCATAACTATGCAAAGAAATTATGCTTTTTCACTATATATTCAATAGAGCATCCTCTTTCACCAGAACTCCCGACGCTTAGGTCATGAAATTCCTCAGTTTTGAAAGAGGCATCCTTGCTTATTATAACCATGCACTTAGTCTGTTTAAGTAATTCTCAGAAGCAGAGAAAAGATGATTATCAAAGAATTAATGCATTTTCACTATATAATCAAATGAGACCCACTCTAACACTAGAACCCCTGACCCAGGGGGCATGGAATTCACAATTCTGGAAGAGGCACCTTTGCTCATCAAAACTATGCACCTAGTGAGTTTGTTTAATACCTAGGAGCAAAGAACAAGATTTTCAAAGAAATAATTCACTTTCACTATATGATCTATATAGCCCCGCCCTAGCACCAGAGCCCCTGACCCTGGAACCATGAATTCCATATTTTGGCAGCGGACTCAGTGCCTATTACAATAATGAAAACAGTTTGACTGCTTGATGTCCAGGAGTAAAGAGAAATATATTTAAAGATTTTGCATTAATTTTGATGGTTTTAGCCCCGCCCCTCAGGCCCCAAGGGTGGGTGGGGGGGGGGCATGAACTTCAAACTTTTTTCCCTTTCCTTATAGATGATTTATGGAAAAATTGGTTGAAATTGGTTCAGCGGTTCCAGAGAAGAAGCTGAAAATGTTCAAATGTTAACGGACGATACATGAGGCACGCCGCAGACTACAGACAAAACAGATCGCATTAGGTCGCCCGAGTGACTCAGGTGACCTGAAAATGGATTCAATGTCGTTCATGTGCTTCTGTTAAGGTCGTTGAGGTAAGCATTTTGTCTTGAAATCTTGATTAGATCTGAAACTGATTCAGGTATTAAGGGCGGTCGAGTCAGGCCCCTCAAGTACATCAACACGCTCGCCAGGTGTACACCTTAACACTTGTTCATTTCTTGCAGAATTTACAGATGTGTTTAAGGGTATCGATGAATTGTTTCCTGGTGACGCGAAATATGCATTGACGAGAATGCAATACCTGTAGTGAACCCTCCGCGAAGAATATTTTTTGCATTTTGCGGAAACTACATCAACAGCTAGAGCATATTACGAAATGTGGTATTATTACAAAGAACACAGAACGTGGTGGATTAATTCAGTATTCACTAGACTGAGAAACCCAGCTCCGGCAAGTGAAGAGTTTTCCTAGATTCCCGCGATTTAAATTCGGCTACATTGCGACCTTATTACCTATGAGAATGTTGGAAAACATGATACCCAACTTTTAATGACGCTAGTTTCTTTCACAAGATGAAACACTTCCTTTAAGCTTGGCTTAATGGTGGCTTATAGGTCCTTAATGGAGGCATAATGATTGTCTTTAAGTCACCATTAAGCACCTTTATGCTATCTTTAAGTAATAAATACGTCAACATTAAGTTATCATTAAACCATTTCAAAGTCCTTAATAGGTGCTTAAAGGTAGCTTAATGGTGGCTTATAGGTGGTTTAATGGTAGCTTCTAAAAATCTTTAAGTCACCATTAAGCCACCATTAAGCTAAACTTACAGGTGCTTAATGTCCAATCTCCAGTAAGCTACCATTAAACCACCTTTAAGCCACCATTATTTCACCATTACGCAGTCAATAAAACTGCTTTTATGTGTAAAATATTGTTTTATAATTATTTATTCTCACAAATTATAAACGTTGAGTTTACACATTTGTTAATTTGGCAAAAATAATGTCAAAGAAAGAAAAATATAAAAAATAAAGAAAAAAAATCAAAAGTTAAAAAAAACTTTCCTTATCGGATAATTCTTTTTATATAACAATGGGTATCAAAATAATTGTCTTTTTGTCTATGATCCTAATTTTTAATTTGTTGTATGCACATGCTTGCATTTAATTTTAAATTTTGTAAAAATAATTGATCATCAATATCTGTCACTGTACATTGTGTATAGTTTCCTGTTAGCTGACCGGAGACTGGTGGGGACACCTATTGTCTAACCAGTCGATATACTGTACACTGTTTATTTTACCCCGCTTCCCAATGTATATAAATCTGGTCGGATGACATTTTTAATCTGATCGGTTGTTCTTCTGAAAATTGATTTTGAAATACTAATCATTGAAGATCGACTATATTTTGATAAATTCTTACTTCTGCATTATTTTAAAAGTAAAAAGAATAATGACACTTAACCACGAATTAATTCAAATTATTCATGATTGAATTCAATAATTGGAAATATAATCTATACCTATATATATATTTTCTCGTTACCCAAAGAAAAATTAAGAGACTTACTTAGAGATATTATTTTTTTCCAGAAGAAAATGACGCTATATTACAATTATATTTCCCATGAATTCTGCAGCGGAACGTGGCTCTCCACACACGAAAGAAAAATACAACGTGATTTTTTTAAATAATATATATTATGTATTTATGGATAAAAATAATTTTAAAACAGTATTTAAAAAACTGATTTTTGGTAGCGAAAATTTTAAGGCATTTGCTGAAGATGTTCTCAGTTTCCAAGTTTATACGCTTTGACAAAAATGTTAGGAATAGCGAAACAAGTTAGTTTAAAGACTTGATAAAGGATGCGTTTAGGTGGTTTATTTAAGTTTGGACATTAAGCCACCATTAACCTGCAGCTTAAAGGTGGCTTAATGGTAGCTTAATGAAGTTTGGGTATTAAGCACCTAGAAGCTGCAGCTTAATGGTGGATTAAAGGAATTAACGTCTATAAGCCACCATTAAGCGATTGCTTAAAGATGGTCTTTCATCCTGTGTTTTCAAAACTCGATGCACGTTCCTGATATATGGCATTGACGCCTTCTGAAATGTAGTAATTTCTAACAAACTTCCAGACATCTTTCAGTAGGTTTTGATGTCTTGAAATGCCATTTACCATATGGTCTGCTGAAAACAAATTTCAACACAAAATCGATGAGATTGATGGACCAGATGGCGTGACTACACTTATGATATTCTCGTGAACTGAAAACACTCGAAGAGAACGACGTAATCTTACGCGCAATTATTTTGCGATTGCCCAAGAAGGTTTTAAACTTAATTCCAGTAAGTTTTATTTTTCTTACTGAAGTATCATACCTTGGGCACGTATTATCGGCAGCTGGTCTAAAGCCGGATCCCAGCAAAATTACTGCAATGTGAGAAACAGAACCCCTCCACCTGAATGCAAAGAACTGGAAACGGTTCTAGGAATGATTAATTATCTCGCCAAATTCTCTCTTAACTTATTAGAAACCATGGATCCGATGCGCCAACTCTTGAATAATGATGTTGAATTTATGCCGCATGAATCACAAGCAAAAGCATTTAAGAATGTCAAGATATTTTGACTAAATGACCTGATCCACTCCTGGCATATCACGATCCACAGAAACCTATTACATAGCAATCTGATGCATCTAAGTATGGTTTAGGAGCTGCTTTACTTTGAAATATTAGAGCTAGACCAGTTGCAGACTTTGAAGCCAAGCTGCTTGGTTAGTTATGCGCAAATACAGAAAGAATTGTTTGGTTATAAATGCTTTTACCAGTGCGTGTAACGGTAGACGAATAACGGTCGGAACCGATCATATACCTCTCATATTTATCATGAAGAAGCATTCAGCATTAGTTCCCGTGAAGCTCGAACGATTACTCCTACAGCTATACAAAGACATTCATGTATTCCTCAGACCTGGTAAAGAAATACCACTGGTAGACGAACTCTCTCGTAAAATTCTACCAGACACAAATCCAAAATTTTCCGACGGTATGAATGCAATAGTACGCAGTGTCATGCCTCTCATGTATTTTGTGAACCCACATTTTAGTACATTTGTATGTACTTCCGTTTTGTAGTTAATACATGTATTGGCGTTCTTTTATTATTTTTTCCACCCTTAACCAGTAACTTTATAATGTGTAACAGGAACAAAACAAATCGATTGTATTTCATTTTTAAGAATTTAGAAGTGTGGAAATAATTACCCTTTAACATCTAATATTTCAATGTGAGAAGACTGTTTTCGTCAATGAATTAAGTTTCCTTTTAAATGAATTAAAGATGAATTAATGTTAACCTCCTTGACATGTTGTTTGATCTGACTCCAAATTAACACTGTCCTCACATCCGCATGTTCGTCCAGTTGGTGTTGGAAAACAGAATGTACTGCAGTTACCGTTCTTCTTAGAACAAATGGCGTTCACTGAAGATGAAAAAGGACTGCATCTTCTAATATTTCCCATATATTTCTATTACAAAAAATCATATTAATACATATTTAAAAGGTTACTCATTTACCATCAACTGTATCGTCCGCATACATAACTAGACTGTCCAGTCTTCCAAGCTCTGGGTGATTTGACATAAAGGTTATCTTAACACCTGTTGTTTTATCCATTTTTGTAATGCGTCTGTATTAAAATATGGAAGAATGAATTAGATAAGGCCGCTTAGGCATATAACTATAACAATTTCGATCATATGAACATACATAGAAAGAAATTGCTAAACACATGTATCCACTTCAAAAAAAATTCAAGAACTTCGATTATTAAAATTGACATACAAATATAACGAAATATCGAGAGAGAGAGAGAGAGAGAGAGAGAGAGAGATACAATGACCTTGTCAGCAGATACAACCTATCATTAAGTCAAATGTTCGCTGACAGTTTTTCATACTAATTGTTAGGCCATTGTTAACACACTGAATTGTCGACGGATTTTTTTCGTTATTCCCCGGTCATGACAAGGAGCACACGGCGGGTGTGACCGGTCGGCAGGGGATGCTCACTCCTCAATGGCACCTCATCCTACCGCTGAATTTTTAGAGGTCTGTGTTTGCTATGCCCCTTTTTGTATTGTTTAATGGACTTTTGAGCTTGAATATTGTTCGTTATTTCCATATACTCCATATTTCATGCAAATTGAAATAAGAAAACGTACTACAAACATAAGAATGGCCACATGGATGAAAATATTATTGGAGTTATTTGTTTGTAATAATGCACAAATAAAAGTTCTAAAATATTAAGAAACTGTAAACTTTCCTTCATGTGTCTAAAATTTCTATCATTTTGCCATCACTTCTAAAGCAATACAATTTTTATCACTTTATTACAAATTGTTCAGAAAATTTGCATGAAAAGGAACTTTATGCGACTAAGCTTATTTAAATTAACATACATTTAGTTGTTATTTTCATTTTTGATAGAATTTTTTTTGATAATCTGTCCTTAAAAAGAATTATACTTTTTCAAAGGAATAAGAAAGATTTAAAGGGTATGAACCTTGATCAGGTAGATGGAATAATCTGTAGTCTAATTTAGCACAATTACCTAGCAATTAGTATGGAACATATCAGAAAAAAATATGACCAAACGATAGGTTGTATTTGCAAAGAAGGTCATTATAACAACCATAGAATTTGTGAAAAGCTTATTTTAAATTGAAATGAAATTCATGTAACATTAACTTATTTGTCAGTAACTTGCATCGATTTAAAAGTGATTCCACTAAGAGCATGCTCTTGTGTAATGAATCAGTTGGAGATATTAGCACAATATGCAGGATGTTGGAATGGTATAACATAACAAAAGTGACCGTGGAAAAGCTAATTGAAAGATATCTCATTTGTCATACAGTTTAATTATTGGTGGAATCATTGTCATCTAGCTATTGTTGATAAAACATCCAATCATGAAACAGTTGTAGCAGACTCTGGAGTGTCGTTTATTTCGAGTCCACTAGAATATATTGAATTGGATGCAGGCCTGTAGCTTGCTGATCTGAAAAAAAAATGGGTTTCGACGGCCAAAGAGCTTCAAAGCCACCCATTTAAGTGTATTTTAATTGCGCATAAAAATGTGCTTTCTTTTCGTCTATCCTATTTTTTTCCAGACCAGCGAAATGCAAATCTGCAGTTAATATATCTATATATGAATGAAAGTAACCATTTTAAAAGAATCGTCAATTTTATACAATTATTGCTGTGTTTGAGGTCAATACGATGCTTAGCCACCAGAGAAGGAGTACACTATTCACCGATGCCGTAGGCCGAGATAAATATTGTATATCGAAGGTGGCTAAATCATCGTACTGCTGAAAACAGCAATTATTGTTTTATTTTATGATGCATTATGATTAATTGGATTAAATGATGCAAACTCATGAAGTAATCCATTTTACTTTTAACATTCGCAAATGAGTTAAGGCTTAGTATTGACGTATCTATGCAAATGAACAAATTAAAACATGAAGGGCTATACCTACATGTATCGTATAGAAAAAGTTAAAACTCTTTTTCTAATACAAACTTGGTACCCACGATATGTGATAGTCAGTACACTTTATGACGTCATATTATGACGTCATCGTTCTCTACTATACAAAGAGCAATATATGTATCAAATGGCCCCTAAAAATGAATATCTGAATTTTACTTTGTATGTAGCTTTACCACAGCTTTACACGTGACCTTTATTCGTTATTTTCAATTTGATCAAAATGCCATTAGTTTAGAAATATGACATCTTAGCGTTCACCTTTTCCCGCCGTTTTAGCACATTTTGTAAAAAAAAAAAAAAAAAGAAACTGCTTATTTTCAAGCAGTTTTTCTTCCAGACAATATTCAGCCATTCTCCAGAAATGGTTCCATTAATAGGATAGCAAAAGACATAAATATGAAATTTGACTCACGGATGTTTCTTCGTTTTCGAAAAATTTGATTTTTAAGACAGTACTTAAAATCATGTTACGGAAGTCAGAAGTAAATACACGCCACTAATCATAGGTCGAAACACAAAAAATAAACATCACAGAGCACTTTATATATATTTTGGAAAAATACTCATGTCTCAACAAAATCCCTATTTTTCACACCAAAAAGACAACTATGTATTAACTTTCATTCAAATTTGAAAGCAAACTATGAAGAATATCTTATATTCAGGTATTTTAAATAAAACACCAAATCCATGAAACACTTATGCAGAGAAGTTAAGAAAATTTTATTTCACAAATTTAAGTTGAGAGATCTTAAAAAATAATGACCATAAAAGTTACGGCTGTCAGCATGTGAACATTTTCTAGGAGTATAAGCTTCAAATACATTTTTCAACTGAATAGTAGAGAATAAAAATCAAATACAGATTATACGTCATAGAAATTATTGATTACTTAATGTAATTTGAACTTGAAAATAAGCGAATTCTTGTCAGTAAACAGCAATTATATGAATTTAAAAAATGTAGAATTCTGGTTTATTTGTCTAAAAATAGTGAAGAAATGTACAAAAATTACATGCTCCGATAGATCTACAGTCTACAATTTTGTAAGTTCAAAAGATAATAATATATAGTATATTTTTGAAAATTGAAAGCTTCTATATGTCTCACAACTCTGTTACGGATGTCAGAAAGTCCCCTCTTGCAAATAATTACTCTGAAGATATCTTACAATAGTCTTGAAATTTATTGTTTATAGTTTCCTCAACTAAGTCAACTTCCTTTTCAAGTTAAAAAAACTGGATATTTTCCCTAGAGGAATTGGGGAAGGAGGGGGGGGGGGCTTATCACCATTAAAATATGAGCTGACTGAATCCATATCTCTTTTTTTTCAAATGGCTACTTATATATTTTTCCATATTTGCACACTTTGGTCATGGAGTTCACCCGAACCTCCTACTCTTCATAATCTCTCTCTGTAACTTTTCCAATATACCACTAGTGAGAATAAACTGTAGCTCATTTAATACTAGTTCCTAACTCATGGCGTTCCCCTGGCGTGGCTTTTTCCTAGATAGTTTCACTGTGCCTTCATTCCAACTTCAAGAACTCCCTACCACCTCTTCTGCTTTTCTTTGCTTGCATCTATAATAGGACTTTCACTCATGCTCTTTATCTGCCTTTTTTCTTTTCTTCAGTTCCCTTTGATTTTACTCTAAAACACTTATGTAAGTCTTCCGTTTTCTCTCTCACTCATTTACTAAATACACTCATATATTTTCACTCTTCTTTCTCTCCATCTTTTCTGTCTTTCTGCATTTGTTAATAGCATTCTGTAAATAATGCATAAAATTATGCATTGGTATAAGCTAAATTAAATATTTGTTTTTCCTTAAGAGAAGTCATTTATTTCAAGTAAGATTGGTTATGGGTGTCAGGTCTCATAAAACCTGATATCCGTAACCAATACTATTTAGAATAAATTTGCTACCAGAGAGTATTAAACAAATAATTTAATCTGTACACAATACAATTTTCATATGTGCATATCAATGCAATATTTCAAAGTGCCAAATAAATTTTGTTCATATGGTAATTTTTTTTCAAATATGTCTGATACACAAATATCTGATCACATATTGTGTAAATCAGTAAGTTTGGTGCTCGAATATATCAATGGAATAAAACATCCAAAGCATAATACGCAGTAATAATTATCACTTTTTAGATTTTAGAACATAAGAATGAATAATAAAATTTAGAAAACACTTTATAAGCACTAGAAAGTATAGGTATGAAATCTGATTTTTTTTTCCCCTGACATACGTAACGCTACAGAAAATTTCTAATTATAATGTCAAATGATTAATTGACTTAGGTGAAATGGCTTTAGTCTACAGCAGATATACTTCTTGCAAATGAGTATACACTAAATTAGACAATTCCACACATATCCATTCGTATTTATTCAACATTTTAACGCACCCTTGTCATATTTTCCTCAAATATACGCTTTGCTTCATACAATAATCGCTTAAGTTCGGTAATTTCAAAATTTCGTCACATGCTAACTCGTGTTCTACTTCGCTGAACAATCTTTATGTCAATAATGGAAAGCCGAACCCGATAATTTTTGTTTGAAAATATTGTTACGGATGTCATACGTTACGCCGATCAGGATTTTTAGTCATTTTCCCTCTTTATTTACCACATTATCATCGTCATTTTCTGTAGATAAGCGTAAATAGCATTGGATCATTGTATTCTTCAAAAACATAACGAATAAGTTTGTCAAATGTCATTAATTTGGTTGAAAATGGCGTTACGGAAGTCAGGCTTTAAAATGCGTCAAACTCAATATTCATTTTTTAACCAAAAAATTAAAAAAAAAAACCATACATTTTCGACTTTCAGAGGTATATATTTTTCTTCTGGTGTGCCTTTTACTTTTAATTACGATACTATTCATAGATATTCGTTTGAATACAATCACTTCCTTTCAAATCAATCACGCGTTACGGAAATCAGGCCTGTTTCAGCGACAATATATAAATCGGGGTAAATGAAGGAAGAATGTTTGATTTCTGATTGTGTCTTACTGAGAAAACAGGTTTTGTGATGCTAAAATAAAGACTAAGTTTTAATTGTCTATTTCTTCAAGTATATGCCACTCAGTAGAGTATTAAA